TTTTTTTTTTTTTCTCTCGTTTGCTTATTTCTGTCCCTGGGATAACCTTTTCTTTGGCTTTTCTAGGTAGCTTTATTTGATTTCGAGTGGCCGATGTTTTTTTATTAATGGCTTTTCTATTGCTGTATGATACGGAACTCTTTCGGCATAAATATTTGTGTTTCCAGTACCTCAGTTGTTTGGATTTTACTGCCTGTATGCGTTTTGTGAGATGGTCCTGTTTTTGGGTAGGTGACACGTGGACTCTAGTATGTAAATGTTACTTGAATCTGTGCTCCATTATACTACGTGGCATGTGTGTGCGGACCGTGGATGCTTCACGCCTGCTCAGCGGGAGCCGGGCCTCGCCCCTCCCACGAGGGCGGCCCACCCGCTCGTGTCCGGAGACAGGGCGGCCATGGATTTGCCTGGATTCGGTCCTGGTGACGGAAGATGTGAAGGAGAGAGGCTTTTTACACCCTGAAGACGGTGCTGTGTGGAGGGCCTGCTTTCCTCCCCTCTCCCTGTTTTTTTAAGAACCCCGGAGGAGGAGAGATTGGTGACATGCATGGTGGGAGTCTGTGGCCTCTGGTGCTTTGTCCTGTATTTGGTTTAATGTTTTTGTCCTAATCTCTTCAATCAATAAAATTGTGCGTATTTAACTAAAACGCTGGTGTCCAGCCAATGGGGACTTTCTGCATCTGTTTGCGGCTGCTGCGCCCCAGCCAGGGACCTAGGCGTTGCCGGAGGCCTTCCCTCTCTCGGGGGGACCGTGACCCCTGTGCACACGAGGTGGCCGCCACCTTCTATCATGACTGGGCATGTGCTGGCCACTTCAGTTCTAAAAGCTCACTGAACTGTCCCGTCCCACAGAGTTACGGTCACCACTGCCTTTGGCGGTGCGCATTACATTCCTATTTCAGGTTAGGAGATAAGCCGGGGAAGATACGTAACTTTCCCTGAGTGACACCCGTTGTAAGCGATGGAGTCGGACATGAGCCCCAAGTCTGTTGGCTCCTAAAGCCTGTTGTTACTCTTTCTAGGATTTGAACCCAGAGGTTCTCAGGGCGAGTGTAATAAAAGCTGTGCAGTAGCCACTTACCTGGGACCCAGTGATCCAGGCTTCCACGCGATTCCCCAGGAAAAGCTGCATCTGCTTCACACCCGGTTGGAAACTTCCACAGAGCTCACGCACCTCCGGGAAACGAGGGACAGCCCAGGAGCCCTGCTGTCAGAGCCACAGAATGTCAGCCGGGTGGTTTCTAGCAGGCACCCCACCCACCGTGCTCCCCATTTAATAGGAGTGACATCCTGAAATGCTAAGTAATGCCTCCCGGGTGATTTCTCTGCAGGTCGGGGAAACAGACAGGCCGTGGGCAGGCAGGATGGAGTGGTGGGGCAGGCACACGGGTTTAGGGGGCCCGGAGGATGGGCACCCACCTGTCTAGGTCTGTCAGGTGTCCTCGAGGAGGTAACAGCCGAATCGGAATGAAGGAAGAGGAACAGTGCGTGAGAAGTGTCCTGAGACTTGCCCAGGTGAAAGCCATGGGTGCCTCGCTGTGGATAAACTCATCCCCAGTCCGAGCAGAGACTGGTGTGTGGTGTACAAGGACGTGGCTTTCTAGTCGATTGCACCAATCCTCTAAACCCACAAAATGTTTGTCATCCAAGGATGCCACCTCTGTGTCCTCAGCATCACCCGACCCAGCGACTGGCACGTGGGAGGTTTGCAGTCACAGCTGTTAATTGAGGTGTAATTGGTGCCAGGGGACTCTCTGTGCTGCTAACTTTCCTTCCAATCCCAGGTTTCTAGGAGTTACATCGTTGGGAAACAGCGTCTGCAAGGTTTGGAGCCCACCGGTGGCTTTTGTTAGGCCTCAGATAGGCCGATCCAATTTCCCTGCTCTTTCAGTGCCTGGGATTAGGCAGAAACGGGCCCGCTGCCTAATGAGGGCCTGTTTGAGCTGTGCACTGTCACTGTGTGGTTGCCGGGGCAGGGAGCCGTGGGCGCACACTCCCAGCCTCTGTAGAACGAGCTTCCGCCTTGGTGGGGACCCAGAGCCGGCCAGCTCCCTCCCGCAGTGTCTCCAGCTTAGCCAGCCAGGAACCTTTTATTCTCTGATCCCTTTGGGGATAGTACCTCCCCCCCTTGCTACTTAATCAGGACCTGGGGCAGGGCAAGGGGCCTGGGCTGCTGGGAGGGAGGCAGGGCTTGGGGAGTAGCTGGCCTCGCTCTGAATCCTAATTTTCATTTTAGCTGTAACTCAGCAAGTCACTTAACTTTTATAAGGACCTTAGCTGTGTCAGGGTGTGCCAAGGGCTGAGACCTGTGCCAAGCTGGAATAGCAACTGCTACGGTGATCAGCCAAGGGCACCATAGGTGGTCTTTTGATTGGGCAATGGCACTGCAGTTGGGACTCGATGGAGAGCTTTCAAGGAGGGGGAACGGGGACCCACCTAGGCATTGGCTGGGCCACCCGGAGAAGAGCAGGACCTCAGCTCCCAAGCTGAGCTGGACTTGAACGAGGTATCAGCCACCAGCTGCCAACCAGCCACCCTCAAGGAGTCCTTTCCTGAAGGGGGAATCTCAGAGGCAGCTTTCTGGGTCCCCTGCCTTGATCCATGCCATTTGTGAGGTAGGTCAAGCAGGTGACTCTTAGGAAAACATCAACCCCACTCCAAAGATTTAGGTGCTCAGTTTAAATATGTCCTGACCGCATCTGTGCGTGGTATGGCGCAGGCGCGGCGGGAGCTTGTAGCTCCTGGGAGAGACACGGGCTGGAGGCGGTCCGTTTCCAGAGCCAGTGGGATTCCCAGTTCTCTGATCATTCCTTGTGAGAAAGAAATGAATCCAGACTTCAAAGGGAAGTGCACATCCTTCCTGGAAGGACCCGGCCCATAGGAAGGAGAAACAATGGGCTGGCCTCTTCCTTTCCTGGGACGGAAGAGATCTCTGGGGCCCGGGAGGAAGCTGGGAAGAGGGCCTGGAGGGCTTCCTAGGGAGGGGTCCGAAGGGAGCAGGAGTTGGAGGCCCACCCGCCTCCTGAGAATTGCTGATGTTTATCTTCCGGCCGCCAGCACCGCTGTTCCCAGAGCCCTGGGATGCAGAGATGTGGAGATGAAGACATTGGCCCTGCAAGGCCAGGTCTCAGACACCGATTAGCATCTTTTCCAAGACTACAGAGCCACGCCAGGGCCCAGGTCCTTTGACATCTAGTAAAATGCTCGCCCTGCTGAACCACACTTAGGGCATGAAAAGGAATTTTAAAATATAAGCTCCTTAGTCATTGTAGAAACAAACACATACCTTAAGCCTTCCATGTGCCTTATGGCACACAGGTACTATTTTGTGTTTTTTTTTTTAGCTTTTATTTATTTTAATTTTAATTTTTTAAATTTTAAAAAATTTATCTTTGTTGTTCAAAGTATTACATATGTCCCCCTTTCCCCTGCCCTTTGACATCCCGTCCCCCCATCCCCCAGGCCTACCACACTATTGTCTGTGTCTGTGTCCATGGGTTATATATATATGCATATAAATTCTTTGGTTAATCTCTTCTTGTCCCCTCCCCCTGCCCAAAATCTGTTCAATGCTTCCAGGTCTCTGGATGTATTTTGCTCGACAGTCTATTTTGAGACTTGCTATTCGGATGGTAGAGAC